GTGGATGCGCGTGCTGTGTTTAGATTCCTGGGAGTCATCACGTGGAATAGACATTGGTGGGAGTCCTAAGACTTATTCTCATGAACTCCAATTTTCTGTACATCGTTTTAACGAGTTGAAAGTTAAAGATATTTACTAATGCGTTTTTGAAAAATTTATTTGAATGCTGGGTAATTACATTGTGCCTCTGCGGGCCAGTAGTATTTGGAAGTGCCTGTGGAAGTAGAGTGATGACCGTGATAATGTTGCAGTTGATTGCTGGGTGGTGGTTCTTGTGTGGGTTCTGGTGGTGCTAATTAATGTTCCTTCTCCTTTTTGCCTCTGTCACTGTACTGTTTGTTTTAACGTGGGTGGTTGGCGGGTGCTCTGGTGTGGTTTGCTACTTCTTTCTTATCAAACATCTATCGTCCTGATCTTTCCTCCTTCTTTGTGTTTGTGTACATAGTTGTAGATCTGGTGTGGTTTGCTCCTTCTTTGTGGGTGGTTGGCGGGTGCTCTGGTGTGGTTTGCTCCTTCTTTCCTATCAAACATCTATCGTCCTTATCTCCCCTTCTTCTTTTTTATGTTTGTTACTCTCTTGTAGCACCTCTAATCTTCTGGCGCTCATATGACCTTATGCAGTTGCGAGTGCCGTAAAACCTCTACTAAAACTAAACTGCTCCTTCTTTCCTATGAAACATTTATCGTATTTATCTTTCCTCCTTTTTTGTGTTTGTTTCTCTCTTGTAACACCTCTAATCTCCGGCACTTACATCACCTTTTTGTGTTGTCAGAGTAGAAAACTCTTACAAAAAACAAACAAACAAACCTATACATGGCAGCTCTATCTCACAGGCGTGCCCGGCACAAACACATCATGTTTCCAATCCCTGAGCTCATCCTCGTCCACCATCACTATTCTCTCTCTCTCTCTCTCTCTCTCTCTCTCTCTCTCTCTCTCTCTCTCTCTCTCTCTCTGTGTGTGTGTCTCTCTCTCTGTCTCTGTCTGTCTATCGTTCTCTGCCTCTCTCTGTCTGTCTCTCTCTCTCTCTCTCTCTCTCTCTCTCTCTCTCTCTCTCTCTCTCTCTCTCTCTCTCTCTCTCTCTCTCTCTCTCTCGTTCATTCTCTCTCCTTGCCCCTTTCTATCAATTATTGTCTCTCTCTCTCTCTCCATCTCTCTCCCTCCTTCCCTTTCTCTATCTGTCGTTCTGTCTCTCGCTCTTTCTCTCTCTCCTCCTTCTCCCCCCCCTCCCGCATTTCTCTCTGTGGATTATGCAGTGGAGGATTTCCACGAGCCAAAGCTCCTACACACACACGCGCTCAGCAGGCTATGTGTCTGTTTTATCGTCCATGCTGGTTTTACGTTTCCAGACTTGTTTTCATTATAGACAGATTGAGTTTCTGTTCATGTTGTTGCAGTTTTGTTTTCTGTGTACATGTAGTTTGAGGGCGACAGTGTGCCAAACTCACACTCACACTTACTGCTTCTCTGTCCCTTTGTTCGTGTGTCCGTGTGTGTGTGGCATTTTGTCGGATCGTGGGTGGTTGGCGGGTGCTCTGGTGTGATTTGCTTCTTCTTTCCTATCAAACATCTATCGTCCTTATCTATCTCCCCTTCTTCTTTTTATTGTTTGTTACTCTCTTGTAACACGTCTAATCTTCGGCAGTTATATGACCTTATTGTGTTGCAAGTGCCATAACTGTAAAAAAAATAATAAATTTCCGTGTTCTTTTTGTGTTCGTTACTCTCTTGTAACACCTCTAATCTTCGGCACTTATATGACCTTATTGTGTTACAAGTGCCGCAAAACACTTACGAACCCCCCCCAAAAAAAAAAAAAAAAACACAACAAAAAACAAAAAACAACAACAACAAAACAAACAAAAACAAAAACAAACAACAACAACACAACAACACAAAAACAACTAACATAGACGACCACGCGCACACGGAATGCCGGCACGTCACTCAATCCCTCGCTCGTGTCTACGCGGTCCGTCCTGACGAACACAAAGGCTACGTGATTGTGATGATATTAAATCATCCTGGGTCCCATCTGGCTCGTGGGTGTCTTGTTTTTTCTTTGGTTTGGGAAAGGAGATGGTGGGGGGTCCTTGAATTTATCGATTGGATAATTATTTAATTTTAAAAACTGTAACTACACTAATTGAATTGTCGGCTCGGATGTTGGGGCGCGCGCGCGCATACGCATACACACACACACACACACACACACACACACACACACACACACACACACACACACACACACACACACACACACACACACACACACACACACTCACTCACTCACTCACTCTCTCAAGCGCGTGTACGCACACACACATACGTCACACACACACACACACACACACACACACACACACACACACACACACACACATACACACATACACACACACACACACACACACACACACAGGCACTGTCGTCGTCAATTGTTTGCACCTGTTCCTCGCACCTCAAGATGCAAGATGCACTGACGCCGTGGGTCGCGCTACTTGTTCGATTTCTATCCCTGTTCTGTCTGTCTGCCTGCCTGCCTGTCTGTCTGGCTGTCTGGCTGGCTCTGTCCCTGCATCAAATGACCGTATTCGTGTCGACGGGCTTCTCTTTACTCAAACTTGATTAAGAGGATGTGCTCGTTGTTCTTTTTGTTGTGTTGTGTTTTTAATTATCCGTGGCCAGTATTTTCATATCAGTATTAATCATCAGCGGGTGGGTGGTTGGCGGGTACTTTGTCTGGTGTGGTTGTGCCTCTTCATTCCCATCAAACGTCTATCATCTTTATCTCCCCTCCTTCTTTTTTCTGTTGGTTACTCTCTTGTAACACATCTAATCTTCGGCACTTATATGTCCTTATTGTGTTGCAAGTGCCGTAAAACTCTTATGGAAAAGAATAATCATCAGGGTGTTCTGGTGTGGTTTGATTCTTCTTTCCTATCAAACATCTATCGTTCTTGTCTCCTCTTCTTTTTTTTATGTTTGTTACTCTCTTGTAACACCTCTAATCTTCTGGCGCTCAAATGACCATATGCAGTTGCGAGCGCCGTAAAACCTCTACTAAAACAAAACATCTATCGTCCGTTTCTCCTCTTCTTTTTTATGTTTGTTACTCTCTTGTAACAACTAATCTTCTGGCGCTCATATGACCTTATGCAGTTCGGAGCGCCGTAAAATCTCCGCTAAAACTAAAGTGGAAAAGTAGCGGTTTTTAATTTTTTAGAAAAAAATTGTTGGCGGGGGGGGGGGGGGGGGGGGGGGGTATTTTTTGTTCATTATTTTTCTGATGGGGGGGGGGGGGGGGGGGTGGTGTCTATCTGGTTTTTCCAAGTCTTGTGTGTGGGTGGTTGGCGGGTGCTCTGGTGTGGTTTGCTTCTTCTTTCCTATCAAACGTCTATCGTCCTGATCTCTCCTCCTCCTTCTATTTTATGTTTGTTACTCTCTTGTAACACCTCTAATCTTCGGCATTTATATGACCTTATTGTGTTGCAAGTGCCGTAAAACTCTTGCTAAAACAAAAAACCCCCACTAAACACAAGTCTTG